TGTGTGTGTGACCTGGTGGGCGTTTCAGTAAGAGCAGCAGGCACTGAAGACACTGGGGCTGGATTGGGGCTCATTTTCGTGACCTTACTTGACAGGGTTGTGAGAGTTTGTGCTGGGAGCTTGTGTCTTTACTAGGAACCCAGTTGTGGTCAATAAATATATCTTGACTTAAATAAAGCAAGGTAGAGACTGACCAATGTGTGGGTGTTACATTCTTAGTAAAATAGCAGTAGAGCAAAATTGCTTGAACAGGTTTCATCTTTATACGTATTTTTCTGTTTAAAACACAGAGTTGATTTGTTTACATCAAATATTTGACTGTCTCCTATGGTCCCAGGTACTATGGCCAGGACCTGGGTACATGGTGTTGTACAAAACAGTCCCCTGTCCTCCAGACCTTGCTAAGAGAGACAAATGCAAACAAAATCATAATGTAATGAATTATGATCATAGTATGGATACCAACGGATAAGTATAGGGGTTTATAAAGACATAAAGTAAGGGAGTTAAACGCAGCCCACAGGGCTCAGAAGAGAGGTTCCTGGAGGAGATGAAATAGAATCCAAGATTTGGAGGATGAGTGGGACAAAGAGGAAGGCAGCTGGGAACAGGAGGGCGAAAATGAATGACTCCCAGGGCTTCACACGGTACGTGTAATCCCATAATTGCCCACACTGTGTGGACCAGGACCAGAGCACATCACTGGCCACGACCCTCCTGATTGTCTTTCCAGGAGGCTCACCTGTTGCTTCCTCTGCTGTCCTGCTGATCTTGCTGCAGCATAAATTCTCCGTGCAGGTTTTTACTGTTGACATCTATAATTTACTTGCTGAGATGACGCAACAGCTGGTCTTCTTGGAAAGTCATAATATTTCTTCTTTAGTTCAGCTGTTAGTCTTCTTGCTGGATGTCCAGTTTGAGGGCTGGCCAGTAGTAGCAGACAGACAGTAGTAGCAGGCGCCTGTGAGCAGAGGATGGAGATGTTCACAGGCTCTGGACTCAGAAAGTCCCTGGCTCTGGGTTCAAACTGAGGCTCAGTTGTTTCAAGTTTTGATGTAAGGTCCCATAGCCTTGGTTTTTGTATCTGTAAAATGGGTATAATGACTATCTCATAAAGTAGGCTTGAGGATTGACTTAAATGAGGCAGCGTATGGGAAGCATGGAGCACTGTGCTTGGCACGTGAGTGGTGGTCATAATTATTGATGGTTTGCTCCTTGACATCCACCAAAGCCTGTCATCCTGTGCTAGACACATGGAAGGAGATTTTTTTTGGTTGACTGATTAAAACAGATTTCTTGTCTGTATTAAAGTTTTAATCTCCTCTGTAGATTGGTGGGTTTACCATACAGTCTTCAAGAGCTATCAGGAACCCTCATATCTGACATGTCAAGTACATTACCAGTTGAATTTTAAGAAGGCTCTTAGTAGTGGTATGAGGGCATTTATACCTCACATTTTAGGTCTTTTCTGCCTACTGCAGAAGGGAGAAAGTGAAGCTAACAGAAGTACATGCACTGAGTGTATCAGAAGCGGCTACCTCACTGTTGACTTCGTGTTCCCCCCAAAAATGCAGTGTCACATTTAAGACCATCACTTGATAAAGCAACCACAAAAGGCCTAAACAAACACAGTCCCTGCAGTTCTAGGAAATATTAGAAGAGAGGTTATAGGCCACGAGCAAGCTCTTCAAACATGGATTTGTAGTTATCATCTTGAAATCCCACCTTCTGGGAGGCCTCCCTGGTGGTCTTGGTGGTGTGACCATTGTCTGCACAGCCAAGGAGCTTACCTTTGGAAACACTCATTTGAAGTTCGGGTGTGACTGTCCTGGCAATGGTGAGTCAGCAGTCAAACTGGGCTAACATGGGTTTCTGGTTAGGAGGCAGTGTTTTCAGGAAGCCTTTTCTGGTTATCACAGGTTTCTTGAAATATAGACTTTTAGTGATGAGATTCGAATTTTGGTAGGAAAAAAAAGAGGGAGAGGTTGTGTAACATGATTGGTTGTAAAACATGGTCAGCTTGGTAATGCTACAAAGAGGAAATAATGAATGTATTGTCCCAGAAAAAAAAATTTATAGCGCTGAAATATATTCCCATTAAAAAGTTGTCCTTCAAATAAGCCAAATAACTTCACAAAATGCTTTAACTTTTGCATCAGATTTGCTATGGACCAGCAGCATTCTTGGGTTACGGGAATAATACCACATTCTTCAGTAATACTTTTTGGGTCTTCTAGCTCCACTCACTTAGTGAAATATGCAAATTTGCCAGAATAACCAATTGATAATTTAACACAGAAAGCTTTAAATTGTGTTTTATTAATTGTGCTAAGGTCAAAATAAAGAACGAGTGGCTTGGTTTATATTCGATTACAATAAGTAGCATAAACAAATATTTCATTGGTACTTTGTTTTTAATCTTGTACTTTGGCAAACCTTTTACTGTGCTAAGTGAATTTTCCTTTTCATTGGGAAAAGCCAAGTTACTGTTGTTTTTGGTTATATAGTTGCATTCTTTCAGCTTGTAACAGTTAGCTAAAGACAAGAAACTAAAGAATATTTGCCTCGAAGTTATTTATTTCTTAGATTTACATGATAATAACCTTCTGCATGGTTTCTTCTTTTTTTCCATTTTCTTTGAACATTTTCTTCAAAGCTGCTTGGAATTAAAATAAAGTACAGATATTTTGCATTTATATGAAAACCAGCTAGAAGTGAACTAGACTTGACTACATACCACCTAGAATTGCTGTGGCTCAGAATTCTCACAGATGTGCTTTTTCAGCTGTCCATTTGACATCTCCAAGACAAAATTAAACTGCTTCCTTCTTGCTTCTCCCCGCTTCTCCTAAATCCCTGTTAATGACCCACCTTGATGCCCAAGTAGAAACCTTAACTAGAAATCCCAGCGTCTTCCTAGGCTTTCCCATCTAAGGAAGTCCGGCCAGCTAACTGATAAGGAGCAGTGAGTGATGTGCTTAATGCTAAAGAACTTACTGAAAACTAAATTTCCCTTGTATTACTGTTTCAGAAGTCAGCGTTTAGAAATTATTGTTGATTTCACCTTCATCACATTTTTTGGGGAAAATGATTGGGTCTTCGCATGATAGTTATTTCTAATAGGTTTTCCTACCATTTCAAATTTGGACAGTAAGTGGGCTCTAGGGAAGTTCTCAAATTTTAGTGTTCATTCAAATCATCTAGAGATCTTGCTAAAATGTGAGTCCAAGTTGGGGAGGTGGGTGGTGAGGTTGCGCATTTCTGATGTGCTCTTAGGTGAAACCAGTGCTGCTGGTCTGTGGACCACATTTTAAGCAGCAACACTCTGGGTGGAAATCTATGTCAAATATCTGATTTTGATGATCTGTTAACATTGGAGTCAATCTTTGGTTACCAGATAAAATACAAGACACCCATGCAATATTTGATGCATATTTTTACTGAAAAAGTATTCATTATTTATCTGAAGTTTAATTTTAACTGGACTGGACCCAATATATGCACAGACAAATACGCAAACACTCTAAATGTGGCAACCCTAAATTGCAGTCGAAGTAATTTATGAAGACACTGATATGTCAATACATATTATTAGATTTAAAATAATATGCTGCAATAGAGGACTGGGTAAAGAAGATGTGGCACATGTACACAGTGGACTACTACTCAGCCATGAGAAAGGGTGAAATACTTCCATTGGCAACAACATGGATGCGCCCTGTGAATATTATGTGAAGTGAAATAAGTCAGTCAGAAAAAGCTAAGAACCATATGATTTCACTCATATGTGGGATATAAAGCTGAAATTTGTGGACACAAACAGCAGTGTGGTGGTTGCCAGAGGGAAGGGGTAGGGAGTGAAGAGGGGGTCCTGATATATGGCCATGGGAGAAGATATGACTTTGGGTGGTGGGCACACAGTGCAATATACAGACCTTGTAACATTGAAACCTACACCTGAAACCTATATGTTCATATTAACCATTGTCACCCCAATAAATTTAATAATAATAAAAAAACTAAATAATATGATTACTTTTATTTTAAGAGAAAGGACACATAGAACTAGGTTTGTTTCAGACTTGTTTTTAAGCACTTATTTAGGTGTTTTGCTCATATGCTTTCCAATATAATAAAATATGTAAGCATCAACCTCCCCTTCAATATCTAGGGAATTCTTGAAAAATAGTGAAATCTGTATTTTCCAAAACATACCGGAAAGCACAGAAATGAACTAGATTATCAATGTTGTAAACCGACTACTTGAAGTTATAAGGTGTTAAGACGACAGATTTAAATTTAGACTTCTTTTTATAGTTTTTTGTTTGTATCTTTTTGAGTTGGTGCTGGTACTGTTGATATTTTCAAACCCTGTATAAAAGCATAACGAGGGGAATCTGTTATTAAAGCATATAGAAGAAAGCGTGAATGCTTTTCTTTGTTTTTTCAGATTCTTTACAGAGTTGGAAGCAAGACATCAGAATAATATCTTCATAGACGACATAAGTGACATTGTAGAAAAGCACACAGCGTCCACATTTGACCCATATGTGAAATACTGTACAAATGAAGTCTACCAACAGCGAACACTACAGAAATTGTTGTAAGCTATGTTGAATATTACAGTTTTAATTGTCGAACCTTTTTTTAATTAAGTTGCATTGGTTGAAATTAATTGATCTCTTAAGTCATGTTTAGAAATGTCCTCTGATGGCCCATTTCTCTGGGACAAATGTTTAAGAGAATTGCACATTTGAGTAGAAAAATCTAGTCTGGAGAATTTTCTCTCTAAAGCAGTTAGGAAATTAGTTTGTTGTTTCCCGTGTTTTTGTGCTTAATTGTTGTGATCATCATTTCAAACCCCCTCGTTTTCCAAGCCTTTAACTGACCATTAAGCATTTTGTCTGAGGCCAGGAGAGGGTTTTTGAGGAGGCTGGTTAATGCCTAGGATCCAGAGTTTTCTCTTGTACTCTAACCTTCTTCCATTCAAATGACAGCTCTGTTCAGTTGTTTGTTGGAATCGATGACTTTCCCCTTGGGTAGTGAGGAGGGAAGGTCTGAAAGAGACCAATGGGGGGAAAAGTCCTCATCTCTATCCATGAAAGAGTCAGCAACTGTTCAGTAATGTCTATGTGGTTCTATTTTCCAGGCCTTATTTATCACAAGTAGCTGGCTGGTTGCTGTTTTTTAAAACTTTCTTTATTGATTTCAGAGAGAGGAAAGGAGAGGGAGGGAGAGATAGAAACATCAATGATGAGAGAGCCATTGACCGGCTGCCTCCTGCACGCCGCCTGCTGGGGACCGAGCCCGCAGCCCTGGCATGTGCCCTGACAGGGAATCAAGCCTCGATCCCCTGGATCCTAGGCCGACGCTCAAACGCTGAGCCTCGCCCGGCCGGGTGGTAGCTGTTTGCTTTGCAGTGCGGTTGCACATGCTGTGAACTCAGTTTGGGGACTTACTGGCTGTTACCATTCTCCTCCCCCCTGGGACTTGTGGCATTTGGGACCTTGGCGTGGAGCTCTGGCCAGCTCCTCTGTAAAGTGTGAGACCCTGTGGAGAGGTGGGGTTGCTGATGCGTCATCACCTCGTGGCCGTTTGGAGAAGCGGCCCCTCGTTGGTGAGATGGGCTGATCAGCCCCCTCTCCTCCACATGCTCGAGAAGCTCCTGGATTGGCAGGGTGGGAAATCCAGCTGCCAACTCCAGGTGAGGTTTTCAGCACGAAGCAGGGTTTGTCGTCACTACTACCATTTGGGGCTGGACCACTCTTTGTTGTGGGGACTGTCCTGCATCCTGCACATTGTAGCGTGTTCAGTAGGGTCCCTGGCCTCTGCCCACTAGATGCTGGTAGCACCCCTTTGCCCCAGCTGTGACAGACATTGCTGAATGTCCTGCAGATATTGTTGAATGTCCCTTTGGGTCAAAATCACACTGCTCATTTTTCCTCACCTTGCTGCCCCTGCTGGGAACTGCTGATGTAAAGGTTGCTCTGTAACTGATAGAAAATGCAAGTATGTGTTCGAAAACAAAGTCTTAAATTAGAGCTAAATTTTGGGGGGTTTTTCCCTTTTTTTTTTTTTTTGCAGGATTAAGAAATGTGAATAGGAGCTGCTTTACATTATGTAACTCTTAAAAAATAAAGGTTTTATTGAAATTCGCTTACTGATACCATTATTTGAGCTTTCACCTGGAAATCAGTGGCTGTGTTTTCAGAAGCTGTGTTGCAGTTGATGTGAATTTATATTTAGAACAGTGACATTCAACCTCACCTGCACTTTGGAAACTCCTGGGAACCTAAAAGCAAGCAAAAAAACAAAGCCCAGGGTTCATCCCAGACTAATCAGTCTCTTTGGAGGTGGGGAACTGGGACCTAAGTGATTTAAAGATGCAGCTGGTTTAGAGTTTGATTTTTTTCTCTTAACTTTTTAAAAATCTTTCGAGCCAGCGGGAAGGAAGACTTAAAACTCTTCACTTTGGAAAATGAAATAAAAACATTTCTGCAAAATTTCTTTTAATTTGCTATTCTGGCTATTTCCTAATTTATTTTTAGAAGACTTAAACCAAATCATCTAATTTTCAATATATATATATTTTTAAAAAGGTCTCAGTTGCCTCTGCCCTGCTTCGTGCCCTGCCCCCTTCCCCACCCTCCAACATCCCTGCCCCCTCCTGGAAAGTCACAATGGAGCTCCTCAGAGCTCCCCTGGGGGTGAAGTTCGGTGAGGGTGAGAGATGCAGGGCTGAAGGCACCCACTGAAAGTCAGAAGACCTTGGCTTGACTTCTGTCTCTGCCAAATACTAGATCTATTATTTGGCAAGTCGGGGACCTTTCTGAGGCTCCATTCATATTAGAATCCCCTCTTGACTTTCCTTAAAAGTTACATGGGTGGTTCCATATAAGATGTTATATGTCAGTGTATCTTGCTAAATTCCATAAAGATATTGTGGCAGTATTTTACTGTTTTTATGTCACTGGGAGAGAAGAAACACTGGCTGACAATAGTCAGAAGGTTTTCTGTCTTAGAAGGTTTTCTGTCTTAGAAGCTTTGAAAAAGTCCAACAGCCTCCTAGTTAGTAAATCCAGTCTGACATTTATTCCTTAGATTATTATTTAGTGCCAGAGAAGTGGCTTAAAACAAATCATTTGTTATCTTTTTAATGGGATGTTTATAGGTTATCAGAGATGAGGTCTAGTCTGTATACTAACTCGTAATTGAAACGTTCACCATTACGATGCTTTTAGCTCGCCGTTTGTTTACTTTGTCTTACTGTTCCTACTGGCACCTTAAACTCACATCTTATAGCAGCCTTGACTGTAAAAGGCAGACAAGCCATCCCTGCTTACCTATGCCATTGTGTGTTCATGTTCTATATATTTAAAATCATCGATAATACATGAATTGATCCCAGTATTTTATACTACATGTGTATTTGCTTCTTAACTGGAGGAGGCAGGACCCTGAAGATTCTTCCTTCTTCGTTTTCCCTCAGAGCCACCAATCCATCTTTTAAGGAGGTGTTGTCCAGAATCGAGTCCCACGAAGACTGTCGGAACTTGCCCATGATCTCTTTCCTCATTCTCCCCATGCAGAGGGTGACTCGCCTTCCCCTGCTGATGGATGTAAGATGCGACTTCTGCGGGTAGCTGTAGGGCCATAAATCTCACTAAGAACGTTACTCTTCTTCCACTTAAATTTATGCATCCTCCCTCTATCAAATCCCCCGATTGAGTGAGAAGGTGCTATTCCATTGGAAAGTCTCACTTTTATCTAATATCTTTGGAAATCATCTTCAATTTAGATTTGTGTGGTCACTGAAGAATTTAGATGGCATTACACACAACATTTTTGGAAGTGGGAAGAGTACTGACTTCTTGAAGTCTGGAGTCCTGGATTCCTGTGCCAGCTGAGCCACCAGGCCTATGACCTTGGCCAACTCAATTAATCTCTTTGGGCCTCCATTTCCTCAGGCCAATCACTAAGATTCCTTTCCTGTAGTTTTCCTGAGACTTCATTGATTAGTATACAGGCTTGTGCTGAGTTATATTAGTATTGTGAGTTGTTCAAAGATAACCTTTAATGGAGCATCTACTGTGCTTTCTTCTGTAAGATTTATCAGAAGTAAAGAAGTTTTAAACAAAAAGATTATGTTATGCTATGTGACTTCTAAGACTTTTATAAAAATATGAAACTTTAGTTGTATAGGGAAATATTTCAAACTGCTATATTAAATATGAAATGAGTGCTTTTTAATGTAAAATTTCTTGTAATGTTACAGATTTTCAGGGTTCTTTTTTTTCCTTCTTCTGAAAATGCATTTTAGCCATATTTCCTTAGATTTCGTATATACTGAGATCTCTCAGCCCTTTATATTCTCTCTGTTTAATTTTGGCAGAATTGCTTGACTACATTGGAACTCACAAAACCTAACATCCCATGGTGGAGGTTTATGTCATTGTTGTCCATGGGCTCTAATTTTGGGGGGTTCAGAGACCCTTTTGAGATTCTGCGTAAAGCTGTAGTCATTCTGCCTAAAAAATTCTTGTGCACATCATTTCCATAAAATTGAAGTGTGCAGAGACAGGGTGAACTTAGGATGCCTGCTCTCGGGGACATAAACCAGCATTTTAAAAACTGCTTTCATACTCCTTAGTGGGTCATAAAATTGATTTTTGAAAAATGAGCACTGTTTTTAAAAAGTTAGAACATACAGTACATGTTATGTACATGGGTCATAACATGGTTAAATATTATTTCATAAAAAAAAACTTGTTTCATTTTTGTTTGCATGTTTACTGGTTGCGGTGTTAAATATTTCTTACAGTGGGTCGTAGTCAAAAAAAAATTGAGAATTATTAATATAAACCCACAGGTGCCACCCTCTGTGTTTCTTCTGACATATTACACGGAACAAGCCTGACACCTGACCAGTTTGTAGGCCTGGCACTTTACTACATTTTAGGTACCAGTGGTTTGCTAGGTCCAACTACCTTCCACCTTCGCTTGATTCCTGTTGCCTTAATCTGTTCTCCTGTGAGAGAATCTGGCCACTGAGGCAGAATCTAAATGTACTTAAGCCACTGTCTTTTCAATTTTACTTCATTTGGAGATTTAATCTTGTTTTGAGATGATTTAAGCCTAATTGAGACGAACAGTTTTAGCAATTAAAATGGTTTTGAATGGGCATAGTTCCAAAAGTTATGTGTAATTCAAGTTACCTTGAATCGACCCTCTTTAAGCTCAATTTTACCATCACAAAAATTGCAGTATAAATCTATCAAGAGAAAATTTAGCAGCCTTTTTCTCTTGGTCATTTTATCCAATTGTGTCATCTGCAAAATTAATTAACCTCTAAATAATAATGAATGTGATGACAAGTAAAATAATTTTATCATTTATTGAGGGCCTACTGTGTGCCGGGCGCTCATAAGGAACTTTACATGTATCGTCATTTAACCCTTGCAACCACCTGTGGATGTAGTTGGCGTTGTTCTGAATTTACAGATGAAGAAACTGAGGCTTAAAGAGACAAAGGACAGGACTTGCCCAAAGTCAAATAGCTAATAAAGGGCAGAACTCAGATTTGAAACCAGGTGCATCCACCTCTAAAGTCTATCCTCTTATTTAACTGTTTCCTAAAATGGATTGACTTGGGTTCTTTGTTTTTAAAGACTACTTCCTCGTTTTGTAATTGGATTTTAATGTCATCGCCATACCCAGCCATAATATTGTGTTCAGCATTGTTAAGTTTGCTGTGAGTAAGAGGATATGTCTGGGCATGGGTTTTATTGTACTTAATAAAATAAATCAGTTAATTTTTTTCTTCATTTTCTTCATTCCAGACTATCTGTCAAAAAACACCTAAGGACTCCCCGAAATATGAAGTCTGCAAAAGAGCCTTGAAGGAAGTAAGCAAGGTAACTGTTGCCTAGCTCATCAGACACTAGGCCACTCAAATAGCTCGGAAGAGAATGTGTCTGGGTTTGATGCTGAAAACTGGTAGATTCTCATAGCCTTTTGCACAGCATTCTTTAGATAGCTGAAAAACAATAATGTTTGCCATACTCAGGTGAAATGCGCATTTTTACTGTGTCAGTCAGAAGTCTCATTTTCTCGTGGTGTCCGAATAGCTATTTATTTATTCTCTCATTAAATAACTATTTATTGCATATCAACTACTGTGCCAAGCAGAATGCCAGCCTTTGAATATGGTGATGAACAAGGTAGTTGTGATCATTGCCCCCCCCTGACACGTGCCATGTCAAGGGGAAGGCAGACATTAAATAGGAATTGTAGTGAAGGATGGTGATGACAAGATAGGGAAGAACACAGTAATGGGCAAGCTGAACCTAAAGCACGTGCCATGTCAAGGGGAAGGCAGACAGTAAATAGGAATTGTAGTGAAGGATGGTGATGACAAGATAGGGAAGAACACAGTAATGGGCAAGCTGAACCTAAAGCAAGAGGAGCTTTGAGCCAGGGATTGGGGGAAAGAGAGTCTCAGGTATATATAGAGAACCAAAGGCAAGAAAGTGTTTGGAGAATTTGAAGAACTGGAATGTTCTTCATGTGACTGTAGAGCCTAGTCTAGGAGAGAGTACTAGGGAGCCATGCTAGGAATTATGGAACTTACCCTAAGATGATGCGGAAGCTATAAATTCATGGGTTGTGAAAGTGACTGTGGGGAGGGGACCAGTTATGTGGCTTTTTATAGTTGATTAGGTTTGAGATGACAGTGGTGTGTACCAATGTGATAGAAAGGTGGAGAGAAGCAAACCCGTAATTTTGGGAGGTAGGGATGGAGATTGAGTAGGTGATCATACTAGGGTCAGAAGTCAAGGGATATCTTCTCTGGCTTGGGCATCTAGATAGATGCTCTTACTTATCTCTACAGTAGAAACATGGGAAGCTGATGAGTTCCATTTTGGATATGTGTCACTGAGATTCCTATAGGATGTCCAAGTTAGCTGAGTAACCAGGTCAGGAGCGCAGTGGAGAGACTGGAATTGGAGGCATGAATATGGGAATCATCAGCATGTGGATGATGTTTGAAGCTGGGAAAGTGGCTGAGGTTACCCAGAAAGAGTGTGTAGATGAAGAAGAGTCATGAGCCTGAGCTAGAACCACGAACAACACCAACATTCATCTTGTTTAGAGACAAGGAACCAGCAGAGGAGACTTAAAAGTCAGGACAGAATATACCAAGGAAGGAGGAAAACTGTGATGGCTGCAAAAGAGCAGATGATTTGGTGGAAGGAAGGTCAGCCCTTTGAGATGGCTGTGGGACATCCAACAAGAGATGCCTTCTAGGTGGTTGGTTCTCCTGGCAATCAGCCCTCATCCCATGGTTAGCGGCTTTTTAAAAGTTACCTCATTGACATAAACTCAGGTGTTTTTGAAAGGGGCTTGTTATAAATCAATATCATATTATAACTAAACATGCCCCTATGGCTCCTACATAGGAAACTACAAGGGTTTTAGGTGCTATGTGCCGGGAACTAAGGGCAAGGACCAGCTATATATTTCTTACTGTAAACCGCAATGTCACAGGCTCTCACCAGAGGACTGAATGCATTTGGTTGTACATCATTCACTAGTTCTAATGAAAGTGAACTCCCCTTAGCTTGGCCATCCTTGAAGAATCCTTGGCCATCGGGTTCCACCTGCATGAAGGCTCCCCTGCTTCAGCATTCTGTTTACTGGTCACACGTATTTTGCCTGTACCATTGCTTGGAATCCGCCTGCAGCTGCTCTGACTTGGAAATGAGGACTATGGTGCAGCGTGCCGAGGCCGAGGCCGAGGGAGGGGGCGTGGGTAGAGGCCGGCAGAATGCTCAGGGACTGGCCTGAGGAACCTGTGTGTGGAGGGCGTGATGTAACAAGAACACATGAAGGATATGTGTCCCTAAACATTTTCAGGATACTTTTTTCCTCTGTCTTCACATCCTAATGACACTACTTCCGAGTACACTGTCTTAACTGTAAAACTCAGCTCTTTCACTGTCAGAAATGAGTCTCTGGAGCTTCCCGAGCGCTAATTATTTCCTGGGAGAGATCTGCATTTGAAAGTGAGGTTTCTCACCTTGACCCCCTAACCCTCTGCATTTTTCTGTTCCCAGTTGGTCCGACTGTGTAATGAAGGAGCCAGGAAGATGGAAAGGACAGAAATGATGTACACAATTAACTCCCAGCTGGAATTTAAAATTAAGGTATCCTTGCATTTCTTCATAAGCAGATTTATTACTGCTCTTGCTTACGTCTTCTGTAAATAGAGAGAGAGTTGAGGGCAACAAAGTGGATAGGACTTTACTTTTCAAAGGGCCATAAATTGATTAGAGAGAGGCTGGTGGAAGGAGTAGCAGATGCTGAGTGCAGTTCTGCTCTTGCTTATGCCAGATACAGCGACCTTTCTGCAGCCCATAGAGTTAGGTATTATCTAACTAGAACATTTTATTTTATAGGAAGACACCAAAATTGGGGAAGGGGTAGTTAAAAATAATAGATTTTAGTATGGAAAGGAGATTTCTTTTAGATTCTCAGAGTGTCCTGCAAAACAGTGGTATTGTATCCCAGGGGCTGGACCAGGGTGTTCTCCCAAATCAAATAAGGACACTCCTTGTCCGGTTTTCAAAAACAAGATTGTTCCTGGATTGTTCTTTGCAAATTTGTGTTTCTCCCATAATTCTTTATTGACTGTGTGCTGCCCTTTACTGTTTGATACTGCTCAGGAGCAGATGACAAGGCAAACAAAAAAGAAAATGACAATTAATGGCAAATCTTGGCCATGCTCAGTCCATTGTTGGTTTACAGCTGAGTTCTTAATGGATGTGAATGCTCACAATTGTGATTCTATTTCATTTTATTACATGTAAATTTCATTAAGCAACTTAAAATGGCAGGTCATATTTGTTTTTATAGTAAAAGTGTTTCATTTTCTAACAAAATACATTTATAATATTGGATTTTTTTGTTTTTAAAAGAGGCATAGATACGTTGAAAGCCACTGTCCATTTTAACAATTTATTTTTGCCTAGTGGAGTATGAGGAGTCCATAAAAATCAATCTAATTTAAAAACACGTTAGTTTTAAAAACTTTCTTTCCCCAGCCCCTGAACTAAGAACAGCCATAGGGCGCACGTACATTGGAACTTAACCGTGAAACTGTCCTTGGTTCATCGGGTAGGGCTACATGCAACCGCAAGATAGCGCTGTGTTTGTCCCCAGTAATTCCATAGCTTCAGCAGGACCAGACCTGACACACAGGTCTTTGTGGTGGCCTCTTGTGTGCTGATAGGGTTCTCCAGAGTTAGCTAAGCAATTTTTGTCTGTCGGCCTTTTACATTTCAGCCGTTCCTGTTGGATTTGAGATTTGGGGGCTGGGAACTCTACGAACTCCCTTAATAGCAAGTTTTGAAAGTTTGAGGTCAGCCATAATGTTTCCGCTTCCTTTTTAAACCTTCAGGAAAACAGTACATAACTGATGAGCAACCTGCTTATAAAAATCCTTTATAAAGTTAAAAAAAAAAAAAATCCTCTTAGCTTTCTTATTTCCTTCCTAATATCCTCAATTTCCTTTAGCTATTTTTAATCATTATTCCCTGAAAAGGATGACATTTGGTTGCTCTCCACTACTACAGTTATGTTTTGTGTGTCTGAGAACTTCTGCTTATTTTATGGATGTAGTTTTTTAAATCAGATTTTTGGCAGTAAGCATTTCTGGTAACTTTAAAAAAAAAAAAAAGAGCTCTCAAGGGTAAGGATTATCCTGTGGTTTTGAGAGTTTTCCAGTCGGAAACTGGAAACTGAATTTTTTAAAAACTATGTAATTTCTTGTATCCAGCCTTTTCTATGAGATTAAGATGGATTATTTTGGGAAAACTTCATTTTTCCAGCCAGAAAATGGCATGATGCTTTCGGGGATGAACTTCCACAGGGGAAAACGACCATAAACTTAAGAACAGGTGTTCCTTAGAATGTGGCTAAGTAAATAGTCAGCAGACAAATCATAGATTTGAGAGGGTTTTTTTCCCTTGTGAGTAAAGTCTCTCTAATTCATAAAGTGAACGCAGACTTTTATATTTCTCTCTTATTAACTACAGTTACCCATATTTTTCTGTATGTTTAGATTCTGACTTGTGATATTTAAAATAACTGCAGTTGATACTGATAGATGTCATTTTGAGGCTTTTCAGTTTTAAGTGGATGCTTATCCGTCTTCTTTTTTAGCTGAGAGTTAATAGAAAGGGAAATATAATCCTTTCTGGTGGACCCAATAACATTTTCTCATTGAATTTTAATCACATGTAGGCAAGTTAATAGTTTCTTTATGTTGGAAAATAAGTTGTTCTTTTCACTTTCTATTGGAGAATTACTATACTTCTCTAGTTATATTTCATTATAATATACCTATAAAATGACGATGTATGCCATAATATGTATAATATGTTTGAAAGTAAGTTGTGGATTTTATTCTCAGAAATCTTAAAGGCACTCTCCTTTGGCTTTGGTGCTGAGTTCTTCTGTTTCTGTAGCCTTTCCCTCTAGTCTCCTCTTCCCGGTGGCTGGTCAAGAGAGGCGAGTTGACAGCCTACGTGGAGGACACTGTGCTTTTCTCCAGAAGGACGTCCAAGCAGCAGGTCTACTTCTTTCTCTTTAACGATGTCCTCATCATCACCAAGAAGAAGAGGTAAGCCTTGCTGTGGCGTCGCTCGCTGTGGATCCAGGCTCCAGGCTCTGCGATTCAAATGCTTGTTAGAGGTGATCATCCTTCCCAAGCTTGAGACATTAGATGTAAAGGTTCTGCACATGGAATCACAATAGCGTCTGCGCTCCATTTTCTTTAAATTACCTGTGCTGGTAAAACTTGAATTGTTACCAGCACCACCATTCTAGCCACTCTTTCTTGAGCAAAGCCACCATCTGAGCATTTTATACATTTGTATTATTGAGTTCTCATGACACCTCCGGAGAGACACCACTTCTATTCACAGTCAGCATTTTTCAAATTTCTTCTCCATGGAAACTTTCCTCTGGTTGAGAGCAAGCTGGGCTGCAAGTCTGGTGCTTCTTGTAACTTAATTTAAAATGCACTGCTCTTAATGGCTGTTAGTCTAAAGTCTTCCCCGGTGACTGGGAAGATGCTAGCGGTCCTCTAATACTCTCTTCTTAAGGGAGTAGGAGGTAAGTCTGTCGGTTGGCAGCGTGTTTCTTCCTCCACCTTCAGACTTCTGCTTGTATATTCATGTCCTGCTCTAGGGAAACGTCCAGGAGGAATCCTGTACAAGTCTTATTTTTACAGTATTTGTTCCAACTACACACACACACACACACACTCACTCCCCTCGGCTCTGCCGTTCTCTAGGGAACATTCTTTATTAACTATACTCAGTATATGTAGGATTGTAAAATATTTTCCTGCTGGTCCTTCATAAATATTCCATCCTTCCCAGAATGTGAACTTAAAAAAACACCCATAAATCTGTGGTGTGTGATTTCCACATATGAAGGCAGTGGTAGTGGGCAGAATTGCTGACATATAACAGAAGTAGAGGTGGTTCTTGGGGTGTAGCTTAGACAAGGTGAAGAGAATCGTGGAAACAGGCTTCTAGGAATATGTAATATGTGTCCAAATTTATCACACAATAGTTATTTAAATTCTGCTTCTAAATTGCTGACATTTTAGCTTGAGTATTCAAACTAACCTGGAGAGCATTATGCTAAGTGAAATTAGCCAGTCAGAGAAAGACAAGTACCATATGATTTCACTCATATGTGGAATCTAATGTACAAAACGAACTAACAAAGTGGAGACAGAGAACAGACTGACAACTGTCAGAGGGGGCCTGGTGAGAAGGGTGAAGTGATTAAGCAAAGGAAAAAAATAAAGACTCATAGACACAGATAACAGTATGGTGATTACCTGAGGGAAAGGGGGTTGGGGGGAGGTAGAGGAAGGTAAAGGGAGATAAATGGTGATGGAAGGAGACTGGACTTGGCGTGGTGGACACACAATACAATATACAGATGATGTGTTATAGAATTGTACACCTGAAACCTATACAATTTATTAACCAATGTCACCCCAATAAATTCAATAAAAAAAAATTATAAATTCGAAAAAAAGAAACAGGTCAAGCTTTGCTTTTTGCTCCTTTTAGCCAGACTGTGTTATGAATTTCAGCTACTGGCAGTCTAGCTGAAATGAGAACTTTGGATGGTCTACCCTGAAAAGCTGTAATACAACTATGATAAATATGTAAAGAGGCTGATGATTGTCGTTCATGCTTAGGAAAGTAGTGTTTCCATGACTTTAAGAAGAAATGATTTATCTTACTTTGGGGCAGCTTAAATAGTTCTAGTAGCTAAGTAAATTTTATAAATAAAAGATCGGAGAGACATTATACTTTGTGTGTTTTTATGTTTTGTTGGTTTCCTATGAGATAGCATGTTTTTTTGGCTTTCGTGGAGATGTTTTGTTTTTAGAGAAGAGCAATTATATATGTGACTCTTCAAATGCCAGAACTCTTGACTTTTAACATCTTCCAGCTGTTGAAATATTTGTTCTGTCTCAAGGGACCAAAAGCTTTACCTAAACTTTTTATTTTAATGATAAAGTATATCAAACCAATTTAAAATATAATATAGTTTTGATTATGATGTCTTCAGTGACTTGACAAAACCATTAAGGGTATTTAAACCAGTATAGTACAACTTTTATTCTTGAATTTGCATAGAACTACCCAGTGAACATAGGCTTTTGAAAGTTAGAATTAAGGTATATGCTATGCTACTTAGTAGTTTACTTTTCCCTCCTCAGGAGATTTTTGCCATTACATTTAATGTTGGCCTTCCCAGCTATCCTACATTTATTGCTCAGGAATGTTTGAACTTGTATTATAGTAAAAGGAAAAGCAGAATATACAGCTCCGATGGAGAGGGCAACCTGAGTGCCTAACTTTGCCTTTACCAAAGCTGGAAATTTCTTGCCTTTACAATGAGCTCATCATATTTCTAAGGTGCTCTTGACTCAGAGAACGGCATTGGAGGCTAAAGTTGTTTATGGCCTGAATTGGTGGTGAGAGTGACAAGCAGAACAGAGGCTTGATAAACGGGCCTGGTTAAAAATGTACAGTATGCACAGCCGTATTTACTCTGCAGCTTCAAGGAGGCAACTGCAAATGCTTCGCATGCCAGAGCGGCCGCGAAGGAGATACAGCAGCTTTGAACCGGGCAATAGCTTAGGCTTGGCCACAAGGTGCAGATAAGGGCAGCTCCCTGTGCCAGCTCTGCGGCACTGATTAGCCACCCACTGCCTAATTGTGATTCCAGGCTTCCGTCGAGGAGCCTAGCTGCTGGGTCTCCAGTGGTTTCCAGCCTCAGGGAGGCTCCCCGGCTACTGGCAGAGACAGCTGGGGAGGCGAGTGGCTCTTCCTGCTCCTTCCAGCCTGGCAGCTGGTTCGTGCTGAGCGTGCTCTGCAGATGGCTGGGGAGTGTGGCTGCCTCCGCCGTGCAGAGCCTGTGCTGCTGCTAGTGCTCAGCAGCCAGGGACCACGGGCTGTCTTCTAGGACAGGAGTTTTTATTTATTTTTTTTAGAATATCAAAAGTTTAAAGTTTCCCCCTGGCCGGGCGTAGCTCAGCAGTTGAGCGTCGACCTAGGATCCAGGCGATCGGGGTTCGATTCGCGGTCAGGGCACATGCCCGGGTTGCGGGCTCAGTCAATGACTCTCTCATCATTGATCTCTCTCTCTCTCTCTCTCTTTCCCTCTCCTTTCCTCTCTCTGAAATCAATAAAGATATATTTTAAAAAAAGAAAAAGTTTAAAGTTTCCATTTGCTCTGAGCCATTTATGAGTCATTGTATTAATAGTCTCTTCCACCACATTTCAAAAGGATACAGGATCAGTTCAACTGTTTTGGATGAGAAAGTTAAATCTTTGGTAGTTGTAGCTTTCATTGCAGGTTACCTGGGGACTTTTAGAACAGAGTTCTCAACACGGCACTACTGAGACCTGACAACCCTCTATTGGGGCTGCCCTGTGCTCTGTGGGGTTTTTCAGCAGCTTCCTGCTCTCTACCCACTGTGTGCTAGTAGCACTTTCCTCCCGGTGTGACCACCCAGAATATCTCCAGACATTGTCATATGCCCCTGAGGGTCCTGATTGCTCTAGTCGAGAACCACTGTCCTGGAGTGATGGCAGACTGTCCCCCAGCATTGCCTTCAGTGTAGTGAAGGTGTGAAAATCTATCAGACCTGACATAGCAATAACCAATTGCCATATACTCATAGATTAATGGGTAATGACTTATTATACTATGTAATCTGTGCCTTGTAATAATTTATTTATAATTATCCAATATGATGTACAGACTATATGCTATGTACAGCCTTAGGAATTTACTGCTATTGTCCCACTTTTGCAGTGTGAAAACTGAATCCAAGACCTAAATAGGTTCAAACTTCCAATGGCTTATGCTATAAGGTAGTTAACGGTCTTATAATCCTCATAGAGCTGCCTTATATCTGGCTTAGATCTCCCCTCCCAGTTTCTTCTGTAGCTAAAAACAATTTTTGTCTCTGTATTAGTTTCTTATAGCCGCTGTAGCAAAGTACCACAAATTGGGTGGCTTAAAATAATAGGAATTTATCGTCTCACAGTCCTGGAGGCAGGAGTCTGAGATATTGGCAGGGCCATACTTGCTCCAAAAGCTCTAGGAGAGAATCCTGCCTGGCCTCTTCCAGCTCCTGGGCTCTCCTGGGTTCCTTGGCTTGTAGCAGCCTAACTCCAACCTCTGCCTCTGTCTTCCTGTGGCTCCTTCTCCCCTGTGTCTCTGTCTCGAAATCCTCCTCTCCATATAAGCACACCAGTTACTGGATATAGGGGCCACTCTACCCCAGACTCATCTCTTCCTAACTTGATTACATGTGCAAAGATCTTATTTCCAAATATGGTCCAGTGTACAGGTAACAGGGGTTAAGACTTCAGCATATTTTTTGGAGGTCAAAGTTCAGCCCACTACATGCTCCCAGCCCTTCATTACTACCTCACTTAAATAAATAATTAATAGAATGCTATAATGTTTTAAGGTAGTTCTTGAGCATGCCTTTAATTTTCTAACATTGACGCCATTTTTCATAAGTTTGGAGTGTCATGATGGTCATGTGACTTGAACACCTCTGTTTGGTGGTCTTGTAGGTTATCTTCATTCATATCTCCTTCAAACATGCGCCTTCTCCAGGTTCTATTCCCTCCTTAGTAAAAAGGGCAGCCTGTCTAACTGATTGCTCCACAATAACCCTGAAAGACTACTTTGACTCCCTGTTCCTCGCTGCACTTCCCCAGTCAGCCATCTCCAGTCTTCTGAGCAGCCCATGAAATTACTTCTCTCCCATTACCACTGCCCTTGACCAGCCACCTTGAATTTGCCATAAGACACACCTAACAATTTATGCCACCATCCTTCTATCCATTTTTTTTTTTTTTTTTTAATGTTTTTATTCATTTTGNGCCCTTGACCAGCCACCTTGAATTTGCCATAAGACACACCTAACAATTTATGCCACCATCCTTCTATCCATTTTTTTTTTTTTTTTTTAATGTTTTTATTCATTTTGGAGAAGAAGGGAGAGGGAGAGATAGAAACATCAATGATGAGAGAGAGTCATTGATTGGCTGCCTCCTGCACACC